AGATATGCAATTTTTTCTAACTCTAGTCATTTTCTGGACACCCTATATTACTCAATTAGATCAAAAGCATTCTATGTTCCAGTGAACAAACTCATAGTATCTTGGTCTCATATCGTATGATAAGACTCTACCCAATCTATTCAATAATGGTATATTTGGTTGACAACTTCTTTAAAATTGAAAAGCTCAGTTCAATTCGAATGCTGATTTTGCTCCATGGCCACAACAACAAATTCGATCATCAAGATATCAATTGATAAGAAACTGTAAAAATCACATGTTTTCAGAATTTTTTAAAAGTCTATCCCTACTATTTGCAGATTCGAATACAATACCTCAACTGCGAAAACAAACAACAGTATCGAACAGAGTGATATACAAAGTCAACATGGTGACAAACAATCAAATAGTATATAGTTGTTGTTATTCTTTCTTGAAAACTAGTAATGAGCAGCGAAATACTTCTTGTAAGTAGAACAAAATTAGTTTTATTCTTATATTTGAATAACTATGATATTATTTCTTTGTTTTTTTTTCTTTTGTCTCTAGTACCAAACACGTGGAGTCACAGTCGAAAGTCATATTTATCATTTTACGTAGGATTTTTATTTATTTTTTAAAAACTACCTTCACAACAAATATATCTAGATATTATCTAAAAATTGTTGACTTCACAGGGATTCTAATTCAACTTTTATTTAAAATATCTATGATTTATTTTAGATATAAAATATCTTCTATTAGAAAAGACAACGTCTTCTATTAATTCACGTGCATTGATTAACGTCGTAGTATTGAAGAAAACAGAATGGCTACTTTCAAATCTCAAACACCGTTATTACAACCTGCACAAAAGACAAAAAAAACATGGCGTTTCTCAAATAATAGTATGCATCATAAGAACATCCAAAAGAGTAATTTATCTATTGATAATTAGAAGAATTCATCACGGACTCTACCAAATTATAGAAAAATGCCTAACAAAATATTCATACATCGACTATCAAAAAGTATTCCTGGTCAGTGTGCAATGATTCGGCAATTGTTAACGAATAATACTGCAATGTTACATTTTATTCGACATCGTGCTCTACTCATGTGTACGTTATCAGAATTGAAAATTGAAGAAGATTATTGGAAACATGTTGCCGATGTAGCAATGCCTACTGTCAGATGGTTATCTCAAACATTTAAAGATATAATGAAACGAAATTTCATTAATTGGGATTATCCTCGAACGGAACACAACATAAGACATCGACAAAGACTGATTGATAATAAATTATAACAAGCAGAAGCTAACTTGAAGACTCATTTATAACATAGTCCTCCAAGTGAAGTAAAACAAAATAAAAAGTCGCTTGACGAATCAATGAATATCGTTGATCATGCTCTTACTAATCTCGTAAAGAAAGATCTTGAACAATGCTTGAATTATTTTGAACACAAGAAAATCATACTGAACTTCGATATTAATGCGGTCAATCAGGTCAAATCATTCTATGAATGTAATCCAAATGAGGAACAGGTTTTAAACCAAACTTATGACAATATTTTTATTCTTTTTCTTTCCTTCTAGATCCATTCTGTTCAGAAACTTTGGCGAATGACTGCTAAATCATACAAACGAGCAATTACTCTAAAAAAGAATTCTTTATCATTAACCAAACAAACTTCAAATCAAGGAATGATACACGAGAATAGTGCCACAGAACACATAAATACGTTTGGATTCAACTGTAATACTACTAATCATCCTGATCAAAGTGTTTCAACAACTCTTCTTCAACCATTTCTCAGTCCCATGCGCAACATTATTGAAGCTCGTCTACTTAATATTAAACAACGAGCTGAACAAATTATGCAATTTATCATTACATCCTCTCATTAAAAACTACCTCTTATTCATATTTTTAACAGACTAACTCAATATATTGTTCTTGTTCATCGATTATTTGAAATCCAAATAGTGTTCGTTTTGCTTTTCATTATTATAAAATATTTCTTCCCAATCCGCACTAACATTCAACTAGTTATTACTTTCTTATATTTCAGATACATATCAGACTCAAACAAATCTTTTCTACTGCTCTTCGCATCGGGTTTACCTCAACTGCAAATCCACATTATGCGATAATTTGTAACTTCTCAACGACTAACAAAAATTCAAATCCATAAAAATTGGCACCCATAACCAAGATAATCGAAAACACTTCACCCACCATAGAGCCAATGTTCTATTCATTAACCTATTCTATCTTTAACACACCCTTTCCAAGGTGTTTGTCGAAATTCTTCTTCGAATTTTGACTTTGTATCTTGTTTTTGATTTGAATTCTCTCAATTCAGATCATTTTATAACAGATACTCCGCCACTTGATAATTCTTTATCAGTTTAAATGAAATACATTTGTATTGTGGTAGCTGTAACACACCCTTCGTTTGAAAATTTATGCAGTGCTTAAAACTACCTGAAGATTCTGACCCTTGAGAAAGGTCGAAACTATAGTCGTAGTTTCTTCAAATATAATACACACCCACACACCCCACACCCACACACCCCACACCCACACCCACACCCACACCCAATTCATACGTACCCATCAGATGTTATTGTAATATGGATCTTCGATGAAATAAGATCTTTCCCTATCTCGATTATTTGTGAAACTGTTAGTGGTTGCTGATGATGGTGGCGGTGATTACATCGGTGGTGATGATGTTGTTGAGAAGAATTTCGATGACCTTCAACGAAATCAAAACAAACGTTAATATTTGATCATTGGACCTTCTTGATATTGCAGTTACCTGACATATGGTATGCTGTCAGACCCCAATGACTCATACTTTTAATAGCAGATTCGAAAGTTACTGATGCACTTTGGATACATTTTCGCTCCAAAAAATTTTATTGGATGAATTTTTGTCGAGAGATTCCATTTTTCATTCACATTTCAATTTACTATGTTGGATAACTAGCAAATTTTTCAGAACCATTTTACAAGCGATTTACTTTCTGACTTTAGTGCCCTCTATCTAACTAATTACTTATTCGTTCTGTCCAGTCTTTCCTCCTAGCTGAACACACTTCATTAATATTCACTTCTAGAGATGATTATGATTGTCTCAATGTCTGTACTGCCTTCCCTGAACACTGTAACAACGAGTGAGGCTTTAAATGAGTATATTGATTATGAATTATTGTTAATATTGTCATCTAAACATATTCATGTAATTTAGATAACGTCAAATCAACGAAGTCACATTAACCAAATATATACATTAACTCATTTTTTTTCTTTTTTTTTATCTTGTTGTTATATTAAATTTTTTATTATGGTATTTTTAGTTTTTAGTGCATGTTGTTCTTTATTTCCTTCTCTGTTGTGTGGGAATTCGATGTTTAAAAATTCTTTTTTTTCTAATAATAAATTGATATCTGATGTATATTTCAAAATTACTTTTGAAACAGAGTAGAAATATAAACGATTTCTATTTGTCAATGCATAAAATTGGATGAACTCAAGTCAAATGTTCAACCACGGACGAGCCATACCGTGAGAAGGTCATCCATTTTAACAGGCCCCTTGCGTTACTAGGGAAACCACCTTCTCAGTAATGCTCATTACGAAAAAGTATTTTTGCTAGTAAAAAGAATATATCAGAGTTGTTTCTTGTCTGACTCTGGTATAGAATAAATTGAAATCTTTCGGATTTATTTTTTGGAAAAAAAATAAAAATAGATGTCACCGGTGAGAAGTGCATCTGCTATTAATTGGATGAAAGAAACGTCTTTTAACCCCTCTGACAATATACCAATATTGAAAAGAATAAATAGAAATGTATACTTAAACTAATCGAAAAAAAAAGTAGACGAAGAAAAGTATAGATAATGTTAATGCTGGAGGTTATTGTGATGAAATGATCTTGAAAAGCAAAATACAACAGTATTTATAGCAGAGAATTAGTCAAGTTTAGATGAGAGAGAAAGACGCCTTAGTTAATTTTTCTCTTGCTAAGTTCTACGAATATTTTCTTTTTTCTTTTTCGTTCTGTGCTTTCGCTGACGCCAAGAGAAGCCGTGGAAATCAAAATACCCAAAATCGGCTTCTAACAATTGTGTCGCACGACACGAATGATTCTATACACTAATAACTAGACCGATACCTAGAAATGTCTGGCGAAAAATATTTTAGGCTCTTTTCTAATGTGTTAGCTGTAACCTTGGAATGGAAAAATTTTCCATAAAATTTTTAATATTTGTCTCCGCCATATAAATGTTTGATTCAAGGTTTCAATTAGCATATTAACAAAAACCGACATTTTGATATATATATTTATTAGTACATTTCTATTAATTAGCCTATTTTTTTTCTATCGAGTTAAACAGTTTCTGAACTTTATGCGGGAACAGGAAGAAAAAAAAAGAAACTTATTCAAAATTTCGTCATATGAATACAAGAGGTATATAAAAAGTCCAAGGTTTATCTAGGTGCACAGTAATCGTCATATTTCGTAACTCTTTTAATGATTGAATAGAACAAATTTAGTATATGCTTCAAAATTTATTATTTCAATGCAAGAACAACAACAAAAGAAAAAAAACAAAAAGAAACAACGTCCATTAGATAATGACGACGAGGAGAAGAAGAAACATTGCCAACAAGGCAAGACACCACCAAAAAACTAAGTCGACCAGAACCGCGACGTTGAGATCGATTGTTATTGGTCTGTAAAGACAAAAAAAAAAAAAAAAGATTAATTCATATTTAAAATGAATATTCGATAGACTCACTCCTGGCCGCGGTCTGGTCGACTTTGTAGATATTGTTGAAGTTGTTGCTGTTGTTGAAGTAATTGTCGTAGTTGTTGTTATTGTTGTTCCAACAACTGACGATGACGAAAATTACGAAGATGACCTTAATTGAAATCATCAGACATTTTTATAAAATTAGAATTACATACGACGAGCTGAATTCATTCGAAGGCGTTGATTATGACGACGATGAGAAGACGGTGAAAAAATGAGAAAAAAAAAATTTTAAATCGATATTTGGCAAAACATTTTGGCTGACGAGAGGAGAAAAGAAAAAAAAACCGGGTAATTTTTAAAGAGACCAATTACAACGAAGTGTT